CTGTCCATGGTTGTATCAAGACGTTCATGCAATACAAATCCTTGCTGAATCATCAAAACTTTGGGAAGTGTCAACTTGAACTGGAGAGAGAAACACTGATGGATATGGCTTTAACTGGTTATCACCAAAAAATACAAGAGGGATGTGGAAAGGTCCCAACCTTACATCCAAACGTTTTTGCTGATGATCGTGAAGCAGAAAAGGTTCAACAAGGCTGGGCACTCAAACGCAATAAACAACASAAGCACTTTAGTGAAAAGCAAAAGGGTTACCTGGATGAAAAGTTCAACATTGGAGTCCAAACAGGACGAAAACAAGATCCTGAGGATGTAGCAAGAGACATGAGAAAAGCAAAGGACTTGAAAAGCCAACGTTTATTCACTCTTGAAGAGTTTCTAACTCCTAAGCAAATTCAGGGGTATTTTTCAARGAAAAGTAAAAAGCAGAAAAGTGTTGYTGACGGAAAGGACTTAGAACACATTAAAACCAATGCACTAGCTGCACAAGAGGAGACTGAATACCAAAGTCTGCGTCACAACGTAATCGAGTCAATTCAAATCAAGCATCCAATMCTTTATAACAATCATAATTTATGTGAACTTTCAAATGATAATAAGATGAAGAGATTCACAGTTCAAGTACTTAAAGCCATGTGCGAGGAATTTGATTTGCAAATAGAAAGTCTTGGTACAGGAAGGAGAAAAGAGCCTTATCTTAAAACATTGAAAGACTTCGTCACCTCTTGTGATTGCAAATTGGAGAAAAGTTGAGACTGTTCACTTGAAATATACTTAAGGATAATTCACACTATAAATTTATTGCGCTACATGAGCTGCCACATTTTTGTGGCAATTTTAGCGCAGTGTAAGCAGCTTGTTTTTGTGGTCAGCGGTTTCAATATGAATCATAGCTTCGGAATTCGATTTGTCTGTCTAAAACAGAGTTTCAAAGTGGTATTTGAATTCGTTTCCAATTTACTACAGGATATATAAAGCCATCGATGATGTTTTTGGACTTCTTTTGAGCCGTTAGTATAAGATTGTTACTAGTTTTGATTGTGCTGTTWATAGCTGACGATTGAAACCACGCGAGTCGCATGTTGGATGACTGTCAAATCGTATACTTTCGACGCTTTACTGAAGCTCAGAGGTTAAGACACCSATTAGATCATATCTTGATGATTCATAACGAGAAATAATGGATTAATTCAGGTAAGATGTAAATTCCAGTGCACATTTTATTCTTTTGACTTCACATTACAATACGAGATATTTCATTCAAAATAACGTAAACATGTTCATCTCCTGTAGCTTTGATATCTAAATTACAACTTTAAAAGTGGTAATATCCATGAAATATAATATATAAATGATTCGAAACTGCTTTTACGAGTTCATAAGTAGTTTTTAGCTATCAATTTTTTGATATTTCTGTTGAGTATTTTTCGCGAAATTGTTACGAGGTAGGTTAGTTTGGAAGTCTGTCATTTAGCAAATATTTAAGTGCCCAAAATTTTGAAAGCATATTTGGATAGCTCTAGGATAGAATAGCACTKGACGTAATTCTTGTTTCAAACAGAGCGTTACCATGAGAGATACAAGACACCAAAGTTACCCAAAATTGAGCATTTTATAAATATCAAAAACCTCACGGTGTTGTAAATTTCATTATGGAATAACCATGGTAACCAGAACAAAGAAAAATATCTCCAACAAAAGTCCAAGGATGATTCTTTGCTGTGATATAGTAAAGGAATTGTGTTGAAAAATTGTTTAGTAGTAATGATGGCCTAAAAAGCTACCTATTTACGGCTGTTTTGGATCAAAAATGACCCAAAACAGTGGGGGGTGGTTGCCATGGAAACGAGGCCCCACCCGACCTTATGATACCGATTTTTCTTTATTGTGGGGTGAGGCAAACTTGTATGGAAAGTTTCAGGAAAATCTAATTTTTGAAGTGGCCAAGATTTTTCGAAAATGTTTGATATTTACAGAAACTCACTCT